TTATTTATATTTTAAGCCCCAGTAGTGCTATGCGCAATACAAAATTTAATAAAATCAATCATATTACTGTCGAATCTATAATATTTTGGTATATTAATTAAAGAAGATGGAATTATTGTATAGGTATGAGTATTAATAACAGTAGTAAATGAAAAAGATTGGTTAATTTAGACATAGTCCCATTAATATGCCAATTACAATTTGTTGTTTTAGAGAATTTATTACATTGCTATTGAGGGTCAATAACTTTTTTTGGCTAGTATTTTCCTGAAAAAGCATACTCCTATCCTACTTTTCTAATTATTTTATTGCTATTCTTAATAGATACCTTAAGTCTTTATCTATGAATGCTAAACCTCTGTTGCCTTGTATAATTATTAAAAAACATGTCTGCATCCTTCTATGTCTGAAAAGACTGATCTACTTTAATTTCTAAACAAGCATTATCAGATTTCTGGTCAAAAGAATCAGAATTGAGTAAATATGTTTGTTGCTCTTCTGGTAGTATATCCTCAGTTACAAACAGATTTGACAAAAAATTCACTTTAGCAAGCAAAGTTAAACAGTTATTATCTTCTTGAATCATGATATTTTTGTGCTGTATATAAGATAAATTAAAACTTGTTTTAGTAGGCAAAGAGAAGTGATCATCATCGACTTGGATTGAGGTATAATAGAACTTTTTTCAGAGAGCAGAATAAAACAAATATTATCATTATCTTGAATAATAGCTAAATTGTAAGTTGAAATAAAATATGCAGTAGGCAAAGAAAAGTGATCATTGTTGACTTGGATTGAGGGTATAACAGAACTTTTTTCAGAAGTCAAATATTATCATTATTGTGAATAATAGCCGAATTGTAAGGTAAAATAGAATATATAGTAGGCAAAGAGAAGTGATCATCATCAACTTGGATTGAGTGTATAACAGAACTTTTCAGAAAGCAGAGTAAAACAAATATTATCATTATCTTGAATAATAGCTGAATCATAAAGTGAAATAGAATGCATTTCAAGAAACAGAATAAAGCAAATATTGTTGACATCTTGAACAATTGACTCTCTATAAGAATAATGAGAAAAAATAAACTGTAATTCAGGAAGTATAGTATTATCAGCATCTTGGTCAATAGTCTTTTTATAAAGATTATAAGACAAAATGGAATGTGTTTCAGAAGGCATAGTGAAGCAAATATTACTTATATTCTGAATAATAGTTTTTTCATATTGGTATAAGTTAAAGGAGAATTAACTCTCACTTGCTTTTGGTTTGGTGATAAACAGTGCATAATTAGAACTAGTTAGTAAAGAACAATATGATGTCACTTAATAATTTTTTAACTATCTTTTTGGCCAACTTATTTTTCACGAGACGAAATCAAAAAGAAAAGAAATTCTAAATTAATCTCTCTATTTATTTACATTCAGATTAATTATTGCATCATCGATCACTTGCATCTGTCAAAAAATCTATTATAACAATAATTAACTGATATATTAATATATATAATTGCTTAATGGTTATACAAAATATAATACGATCACATAATTGCACATACTAATAAAATTATCTTTGGTTAAATTTAGTTATTTCCTAAAATAAAATATAATAAATTAATAAAATTTATTACAAAATATAAAATTTACATCAAATATATATATAAATATATACTTATAGATATTTCCAAAATATATTTTTTATACTATATATGGAATATTGTTTTGAAAATCCTTGATGAATAATAGTTTGTATTGTTTCTGAGGTTCTTAAATTAATTTGATTTATATTCAACTTAATATTATTCATATTATTAAACAATATCAAGTATCCGTGATATGAATATTGATAATTGAAAGCATTATATGTTAATATTAGCAGTAAATGTTCTGAAAGGTCATCTAAAAAGACTAAAACAAATAGGTAGTACCATAAATCATCATTATTTGTTTAAAGATCAAATCTATTATCTTTATAGTCAAGCAGTAGCTTTAAAATTACATCCAAGGAATGTTAATATGCAGACTGTTTTGCAAATAAAAAATTGTTTGATTTTTTTTGTGTAGTTGTTTTGATTTTAAGATTGGAAGATAAACCAAAAGAGCTTTAGCATCAGGTTTGTTTCTGTACTAACTAAAAATATTATCTAATATCAAATATACTAGATATTTATTTGATTTTTCTAGTTGGTCACATGTAGTAGTATCAAAATACAATATTATTGATAAAATGCTTGTATCATGAGAAATTGTTTCTTTTGTTTTTTTCTACTATTTTTTATTAAATTGTTCATAATATATCTGTTGTCTTTAGTAATACAATAGTATAAACTCAAAGATACAATAATTAAGTATATCTTTGTTGCTTAACAATTCTTTAATGGCATCAAAAATTAGACAGTAATTAAGAAAGTATATTTCATCTTCATATTCTACTATAGGTACTTTCTTAAAAAAAATATATTGTACCATAATTTTGTTTAAATACTGCTTCTCTTGTTGTATTGGGGTAGATAAAATGATATTATCATGTACTATTTTTTTTGAAAAATGAAATATTTTACTCACATATGAATTTGACAAATTTCATTTAATAACCAACTTCATAAAGTCACCAAATTCTTCACTTGAAAAATTTAGTATATCTTCACTATTTGCTGATCTAATATTAAGGGACTCAAAAACTAATAGTGATTTAATCTCAAACAATCGACACTCTACAATATCCATCTATATATGTATATAATTTTTATAATTATTTGAGTTATATGTAGAATAAAACTTAAAACTCTTAAAAATATATATTAATATATATATATGTACTACATATATATAATGTATATATATATATACATACCTATATATTATATACAGTACTTATGTACCTCTGGTTTATCTATCTCATCTATGATATCTTCATTATTATTTCATCTATCTTAATATTATCATTATTTGTTTCATCTATTTTATATATTTTATTAGTTTCATTATTTTTTTCTTTACTATATCTAATTTTTAGTCTGTTTGTTTTTTCTATTTCATCTACTTCAACATCTTTATCTATTTCATAGTTTATTTCGTTATCTTTTAACCTATTTGTTAACTTATCTATTATATTGTTTTCTATTTCTGGTTTAATATCTTCACTATTATTAAATGAAAACTCATCTATTTTATCTTCTAGTTGGTTATTATTCTATTGATCATTAATTTCATCTTCTTATTGATTAAATTATTCATTTCTTAATATATTATTACTGTCTTTTGCTATAACAATTTCTTGGAGAATGTTTCCAATTATATTGTTGTAGATTTTTAAATGATTGCGTACAGAAGAACGATGATTAAAGTATCTATTATAGCCTGGTTTAGGACAATTATATATCATATATTTATATAAAATCACAAGTTAGACTAATATCTAATATGTAATATAATTAAAATAATACAATTGGTTAATTTAGTGAAAGGCTATTACTAAAATACCAGTATTAACTAGTATTACAATAATTAACTTTAAAGTTATTTTATACAGATCTCATTATATATATTTTTAGATTTGTACTACTATCGAATGCATGTACTGTATATAAGAAAAATTTTTAAAGATTTGAATTAGCTTATTCAACTTTTTTTTTTCTGCCTGCCCAAAACTTGTAAAAGCTTTAATAAATAGTGTTATTCTTTATTACAGAACCATTTTATTTTAAAAAAATTTAAAGATATACAATATACTAGTTGAATAACAGATATCTTAGAAAACTCACAAAGTCTTCTTGCTCACTATGTTTATCAAAAAAAACTTTTACCTGACTATATTAAATCTAATCTATATATTTGTGTCTAAATTAAATAGCCAAGCAATTTGAAGCAAAAGTGCACAACACTCAACAAAAAATTCAATATGCAACAGTAATAAATTAACAAAGCAGTGCAAAAGAACTAGCCAACATTACCAATAAATTATTCAAATTATTAAAAAGTAAGTGCAAACTCAAAATTTAAAAATTCGTCTATTATGAAGTTGACTTTCTCATTATATCAGTTATTCAAGAAGGATATATGATAATTTGTTAGACAATTATCCTAATCTATTGTTATTAACTCTTAAAGTAAACTAGAGATATGTAATACAAATCTATGTTTTTAAGAGTTCAACTTTAATGATTAACACAACTAAATAAAAATTATATAGTAAAAATCATATACAATCTCAATTGTTTAAATTGAACTTTGTTATTTTTATATCTCTTGGTGTCATTTAGCAAAGGTAGCTAATAATAATTCTTACTATAACTCAATATTCAAAAATATATTAATAATTCACCTTTCAATAATATTTCTGCATAGTCATCTTATTAAGATAAGTCACATATCAATATGAACATTTCTATACTTAATACTAAGCATCTACAAATTTATGCCTTCTAGCATTATATTTTTATACAAGTTAATTGCCAATAAAGAATACGATAAAAAAAAACAGTTTTTATTCTGATCAATTTTAGCAATTCATATTAGGATTTGTCAGTACTATAAATTATACAAGGCATCAACAAATTAAAATATGGAATTTGCTATGTAAGCAACATATATACAAGAAATCTATTGAATTAATATTTGTAAGATGAATATAGAAATAAAAATCAAGACAATAATGTTAAGACCATATTAAAATATAGTCAGCTAGTATAATATAAATTTGTATATAGATTTGAAATAGAAAAGTAGTTTCTACACTATTGAGATTGTTAAGTATTTTACTATTCGTCAAATTATTATTATTATTATTTTTTTTTTCGGTGTTAAGGTGAGGACTTGCCTCATATCTTTATTAGATATGTCAAGTATTTGTCTTATATGGCTACATATAATCTTAAGAATATTGGCTTAGACAATTTTATCTACGACCTAAATCTACCAGAGTATGCTACGTTCCCACTACGTATTGGGTTATATTTGGATTTGGTGTTCAAACTATATCTAGTTACCCACCATATTTACCTCATATCTCACCATCAAACTTTGGTAACTCCCAAATTGGTTCATTTGAGTAATTGGTCCTTAATAGCCTCCCAATTTGGTATGTCTGTTATTTGAAGTATTTTCTAAACTGGTATACTCCTTTTAATAGGTGGCCTCTCGTCCATGTTTCTCAAGCCAGGTATCTGCTGCTGCTGCTAGTCCCACATGAGAAGCATTAGTATTATATATTGGAAAGGGAACTTATCATAGGTTTGCACTGCTTAGTTTCTGCTAGCTTGCATTCCTTCATGCAACTTATGTTACATGAATACCCCAAACCTCCTACTTATATCTCCAGGTATACTAGCCTTGTATCTCAAGCCAGGTCCCTGCTGCCACCATCTGGTTTGCTGTTCCAGGTCTTAGTGTTTTCTAAGTTATCTGATGCAGTGTACTTCTTACTACTCTCTGAGTACTTCCTTATATGGTATTTGTCAGAACTATAGTTTGTAAGGATCTCTTGAGTTGCATAGCAACTACAAGGCTACATACTCCTAGCTATTGGCTATTTTCGTAATTCTGCTTTAATAATCTATCTTGTTAAAGACTAGTCTAACACCATGAAATTATTTAAGTAGCAAGCTAAATTACTTCCAGCTAGATATTTCCAGTTGGTATCATATTAATATTGGTAAATTCTAACTCTTTTTTGTTATAGACTTCCATATAGATGTAACCAGAGCTCTAAATTGGTACCTTTAGATATACAGGGGTAGGTTACATTCTCTATACCGAGTAGTCTTCTATAGTCATTCCACCGGTGCCAGAAGTGCTTCCAATTCCAGTTAAGACATGATCTTTTACCACAGCCTATAGTTGTGTATTACTGCTTCTCTCACTACTCCAGTTTTGGTAGTATAGTATCACCCTTCCAAGCAAGTACTCAATACCATTCCATATTAGGACTTATGCACACGATTCATTGATCATCCTTCCAAGCAAGTACTCCACAAGTTGGGTGTAGAGATGTTGGTATTGCCAAATATAGAAGTGATAGAATGTTGGTATTGCCTCTGAGTCACCCAACCAGAGGGCTTACATGTGTGATCTTCTACTGTCTAGACCTTCTGTGATGCTGCTATCATACATAATGTCTTCACTCTACAATCTGGTTTCCTTCCGAGAACTTCTTATTCTGGTTTCATACTGCACTTGAACTT